GTCAGCTTTGAAAAAGAGTGAGGTTGGAGCGAAGAACCTCTTAAAAAGATTAAGAATTGAAAAATGTGTTCTATCTCCTAAATATCCAAATCTTTTTGGAAGAGAAGAGAAAAAAGGAGTTTTGATCCAAAAAGTCTGTTTCTTTTCTTTAAAAAGCGTTTTTGTAGCAAAAACGGAAAATTTCTGGAAATTTTTTTAAGTTTACGGGAACTTACCTTTCTTGTCTTGCACATAAGGAAAGTTGAAAACTTACGGAAGATCTTTACGGGTTTTACCGGGAATATTACTGGAAACACCGGGAATCACCGGGAATCACCAGGCAACACCGGGAAAACACCAAGTAACACCGGGAATCACCAGGCAACACCGGGAATCACCAGGCAACACCGGGAATCACCAGGCAACACCGGGAACCTTTTGCAAAATGGCGGAAATCCGAGTCTCTGCCTCAACGACCAACGGCCGCGGTCGGGAGACGCGCGACCGCGGTGATCGAGGGCTCGGCCGCGGTCAAATTCACGGTGCCGCGGTCGATGCTCCCTTGGCTGCGGGTCGGTCGGTCGCGACCGCGGCTCCTCCTCCTGCGGCCTTCGTCCAACTTTCAGGTCTTTGCCGGGTGGAGCAGCTAAAAACCTATCCTTTTCTTCTTGGTTTTTCTAATTTTCTGATTTTTTTGTGTTTTTGTTTTATAAAATACCTGAAACTTAAAAGAAAAAGAAAGCATAGATTGTAAAGAAAAAGAAAACTAAAAGAAAAAATACCTAAATGGGTTGCCTCCCATTAAGCGCTTTTGTTTTAAGTCGTTTAGCTCGACGCAGGCATGAAGAATCAGGTTAGTTTGAATGGCACTCCCTTTGATGTGCCTTTATCACTTCCAATCGCTGGAGGTTTTACTTCTTCTCCTTGAGGAGCCGTCTTTTTACCTTTACTCTTCTTTCGAACTTTAATATTGTTTAAAACCCTTTTTGTGTTTTCGATCAGCTCCCGGATTCGGTCCTCACTAGTTTCTGTTGCATCTGGTGGAATGATGATCTTGATCTTTGCAAAAGCTTTCGGTTTCTCCTTCTCTTTCTCCTTTGGCCTGTTTCCTTTGCTTGGAAAATCGTCTAAGATAGTCGGATAGTACCTTTTTCGATCCACATTGAGGAAAACAGCATGCCGGTTTGCGTGATCGATTACTGCTCCTACTGTAGCTAGGAATGGTCTCCCGAAAATGAGTGGCCTCTCCTTGTCTTTATCCATCTCCAGGACTTGGAAATCTGCTGGAACAATCTGATCTCCCACTAGAACTTGTAGATCATGAATCGCCCCTTCAGTATCTTTTTGAGATGAATCTCCAAAGATAACCTTAACCGTCGATGCCCTTAAGGTTTTTATGCCCAATTTCTCGGCAAATGTCTTTGACATGATGTTGACATTGGCTCCGGAATCGCACAGGCAGTCTGTAAACTTGATTCCTGAAATGAAACATTGGAAAACAAAACGTCCCGGATCATCGGCTTTTGTAAGCCTTTGAAATGGTGATCGATTAGGTACCTTAAACGGTGGCTGCTTAGGATCGATATCTTTGTACAGTGGTAAAAAGATTGGGGTTTCTTCTTTCTTTCCATCGGTTTCGGCCTCTTCTTCGGGCAATGTGGTTATGGCGTTGCAAAACTTCTTAGGGTTATCTTCAACTCTTCCTGGAAGAACTCCACTTTGCCTCTTCATAGAGTCGGCTGTTTGGACGACTTGCACGTCCAGCTTTTTGACGTGCGAAGATAAAGATTCGAACTTACCGTTCAGATCATTGTACATGCAGTCGATTTTCACGTTCACGTCTTTAGATGCTTTTCGTTTGTCATAACGAGCTGCTGGATGGACTGTTCAAGTCTACCGATTTGTGAAGCTAGCTGGTTCGTCGTGACTCCCTGCTGTTGTACAAATTGATTGTTAAAATCCGTACCTTGGTAGTTATATGGTTGTCGTGGTTGATATGGTACTATTCCTCCAAAGTTTCCACCTTGAAACTTGTTTTGGAGGATTTTTGCTGAGGTGGGTAGTACTGATCTTGAGGATTCTCCACATTTGGATTGCGGTAAGAGAGATTGTTGTAATTTGCATTCCGGAAGTTGTTGTTGTTACCATTGTTGGAGCGATTTTGATATGGCACCAGTGCTCTTACATAGTTCACATCTTCTTCTTGAAAGGCTTGATTAATGTGATCGATATCACTAGGTCTTTCATCTTCTGCGCCATTGTTGGTCTCACAAGCATGGATTGGGCGATTGTTGCTCTTCAGAAGCTGGCTCACCATGTTCTTCAACTCGGTTATCTCCTTGTTGTCTGTTCCGGCTTGCTTCATCGATCGATCGTATTCGGGACAATCATTGCTATTGGCTTGAGCCAAATTTTCGATGAGGGCTTTTCCTTGGGCTATCGCCTTTTGTCCAAAATCTCCATTGCTAGCTGTATCAAGTGAAAGTTTGTATTTTGGTTGCAAACCTCGGTAAAATGTGCTCAGCAGGCTTGATCCATGAAATCCATGGTGAGGGCAACCACGTTCATACTCCTTAAAACGCTCCCAGGCTTCATAGAAAGATTCAGTTGGCCCTTGTTGAAAGTTTGAGATCTTTGTTCTCAACTGATTCGACCTTGACTTAGTATAGAAGTGGTTCAAGAAATCAGTTTTACATTCTTCCCAAAGATTTCAACCAACGGTGAGCTTTATCTGCTAATGAAAAAGGGAACAACTTACACTTTAAATAGTCTGGTGGAACTTGGTTTGTTCTCATCATGCTGCAGATTTCTTCAAAGAGCTCGATATGGTCCATTGGGTGTTCAGAAGGAACTCCATGGAATTGGTTTTGTTTCACCAATGAGATGATTTGAGGCTTGACTTCAAACTCATTCCGGTTCGGAAATGGAACTTGAATTGCAGATCGGTTCTGAAAGTTTTGAGTAGGTGCATCGAAATCAGCTATGCGATGGTTTCTGGCTTGTCTTCGGTGTTGATTTGCTTGCTGAACAGGGCGGTTAATGTGTGAGCCAAAACTCGCACAACCAGAAAGTTGTTTAAGGAAAACTAAGGGATCGGAAACTTCTAGGGTTTATCGTCAAGAACAGTAAGATCGAAAGAAAGTTTTTCTTGCTGTAAAAGTGTTTAGCTCTTATTGCTTAGGGTTACAAAAGTTACAGAATGAATTGTATACATCGTCTATTTATACTAACTCTCTGAACCGCCTAGCCTAGAATCTCGGGAGAGATTTTCAGAATATTTCCTTATCGCCTCGTGCGGCTCACCACCTTTGTATTTCGCCTAGGGTTTTTATGGGCTTCGTCTCCCAAGGCCACAGTTCGGCCCATCATTCTCCTTCTCCACGGCTCGGCCCATCTAAGCTTCTCCAGGGCTCGGGACATCTAAGCTCTTCCACGGCTCGGCCCATCTAAACTTATCCATGGCTCGGGACGTTTGCCATTTGAGTCGAGACGTGAGCTGGTCCAGCTGACCGAAGCGCGGCTCGGCCCAGGCGTGTTAGAGAGGGGCTCGGCCCATTTCTTGTGATACTGCTCGGCCCATCTCTCTTTTCCTCACGGCTCTCCCTACTGGCCTATCTTCACGGCTCTCCCACTTGGTGAGAACGGCTCTCCCACTTGTCTTGGTGAGAATGGCTCTCCCACTTGTCTTGGTGAGAACAGCTCTCCCACTTGGTGACAACGGCTCTCCCACTTGGTGAGAACGGCTCTCCCACTTGTCTTGGTGAAAACGGCTCTCCCACTTGTCTTGGTGAGAACGGCTCTCCCACTTGGTGAGAACGGCTCTCCGCTTGTCTTTCTTCTATACTTAGTCATTTTGAGATGGTCTTATCTACGTGGGGTGAAAACCGACCCCAACAGTTAGCCCCCCAGCTCGTCAGTTTCAGAGGCGAGAGTGACGACGTCCATTACTCCTGACCGTAGGATAAACCATCGAGTCAAGCTGTTATGACATAAGCCCAGATGAGGTGTTTTGGGAATGATGACGCCGAGGCGTTTCCAGGGAGTGCCGAGGGTGCCGAGGCAAGTTTAAGGACGAGGCAATTTTGTTTGGTAATAATGAGCCGAGGCGATTTGAGAAGGTTATGCCGAGCCGAACAAAGGGCGAGGCGTTTCGAGGAAAGTTCGTGCCGAGCCGTTTTTGTTAACGACGAGGCGTTTTAAGAGAGGGAGTTAACGCCGAGCCGTTTCGTTAACGACGAGGCGTTTCCAGAGGAAGTTCGTGCCGAGCCGTTTCGTTAACGACGAGGCGTTCCGAGAGAAAAGTTAACGCCGAGCCGTCTCGTTAACGACGAGGCATTTCGAGAGGAAGTTCGTGCCGAGCCGTTTCGTTTACGACGAGGCGTTCCGAGAGAAAAGTTAACACCGAGCCGTCTCGTTAACGACGAGGCATTTCGAGAGGAAGTTTGTGCCGAGCCGTTTCGTTAACGACGAGGCGTTCCGAGAGAAAAGTTAATGTCGAGCAGTCTCGTTAACGACGAGGCGTTTCAAGAGCAAGAGTTAGCGCCGAGCCGTTTCGTTAACGACGAGGCGTTTCAAGAGCAAGGGTTAGCGCCGGGCCGTTTCGTTAACGACGAGGCGTTTCAAGAGCAAGAGTTAGCGCCGAGCTGTTTCGTTAACGACGAGGCGTTTTCTTTGGTGAGACACCGGGTGAAAACTTGGATATCCCATTTATTGGCGCGTGCGATCGACGCAATTCGATCTAGGCATTTCACTGCGGATTCCACGCGCTGTTTGGAAGGTTTCCCGAGGTTTACGCGGAATTCACGCGCTTTGGTTTTCCTATAAATGGGTGAGCTCCTTCATTCTTCCTCATTATCTTCAGACTCACTCGTTTTTACCAAAGGTAGCTCTCCCTTCTCTCTTCTTTCTCTCTCTAGTTTATTTATTTTCCGGCTAGGGTTTCCGAGGTCTCCGCCGTTCCAGATCTTATTCCGGTAGAGGCTCGTCGAGTCGTGCTGTAACTCTTGTACAAGTCGTAAATTATGTCGAGCTGCTCCGACGATTCGTTGGATTCACTTTTTCATTACGAGCCGAGCCGCGTAGATGCCGAGGGGAGAGGTACGGCAGAATCCTCCGAGGCGTCTGTTTCGCCGAGCCCCTCCAATCGCTCATCTGACGAAGCGTCAAACCATGCAAGCCCATCAGATGTCGGCTCTCCGGATGGCGAGCTGTCGGTTTTGACGAGCCGTCCCCAGGATCCTGTTCCTGATGAGGACATTAACCGCGCTGCACTCAAGGCCGAGGAGGAGGCATTTCCCTTTGACCTTTTCGAGGCGGAGCTTGAATTGGAACGTCTCATGGCGTCCCGAGGCGCTTCCACATCTGGGCGAGGGCCGAGAGTTAAGAGACAAAAACCTGACCCGCCTGGATCTACACTCTGCTCCCTTGAGTCGCTCGAGGCGTTGAGGCATCGCTTCGAGATATCCGAGGCGGTGCAGTTTGTCGTTCCAGAGAAGAGCGACCGAGCCGACAACCCTCCAGAGAATCATTTCACTCTGTACGAGGCGTTCTTCGAGCTTTGCTTCCTCTGGTTCCCGATCCCCGGAGTGATCCTCGAATATCTCTGGAAACACGGGATCTCGATTGGGCAAATCATGCCGAGGGGATTACGGCATATGATCGGCATCTTAGTTCGAAGCTTCGAGTGCGGAGTTGATATCGAGCTGAATCACCTACTGAACTTGCTGGAAGTCAGGAAAGCTCCGAAGGGAAATAGATTCTATATTTCCAACAAGGCGAAGCGACGGATCATCGGCGGTTTTCCCAGCAAGGATCTGTTTTGGACTGAACACTTCTTTTACGTCTTGGTGAACGAGGCGTCGGTCGGCGAGAATTACGTTCAAAGAACCAAGACCGCTTGGGGACCACTTGGTAGCCGACCCGAAGCTTTGCCTCGGCTCGGAACTATTTTCGGTATCTTCTTTCTTTTCTGAAAATTTTTCTTTTTTGCTTTGTTTTGCAGTTCGGTGCTTTCTTCCCCCGATTCCTGACGACCTCTTTACGGTTCAAGACTCTCTTTCGGCGCGGAAGGTTAATTGGAGAAAGAACTTCACCCTCGAAAGAGTAGAAAAAGTGCTAGCCATCCTCGCCGGAGTCCTCGTCAGCTCTTCGTCCTCAAGTTCTTCAAGAGATACCCGGGAGAAGATGGTGATAATTGCTCTTAGAGAAAGGAAGAGGCGCGAGGAAGAGGAGGCCGCTAGACGAGCTGCCGAGGCGGCTCATGCGCAAACCGAGGCGGTTCAAGCCGAGGCGGTTTCAGCGCAAGCCGAGGCCGTTCCTCAACCCGACCCGCCGAGCCGGGAAGGGGATGTAATGGACCGAGTCGCAGAAGGCAACACTGTAAAGGTGGCTGAAAAAGATGCAGCGCCCGAGGTGGAACCGGGCGAAATTATCCCCGAGGTGTCCGGAGAAGGCTCGGCGGCGCGGAGTAAGACTCCTTCGCACTCCGCCATCCTGGCCCTCCCGAAGTCGACGAGGCCACCGACTTCTGTTGTTCAGAAGCATGACTCTAGCTCAAAACGTTCGGCTACTGACAAACGGAAGGGCATCGCCGTTCAGAAAGACGAGCCATCCAAGAAGAGGCGGAAGCCGACGCCCAGGGACCCTGCCGCGCGCAAGTTGGTCGTGGACGACCCCGACGCCTCTGTCGTCATGTTCTCGCGTGTAAAAAACGCGAGCACGCGCCTTCCTCCTTCGGAGAAGCTGAGAAGGCCGAGGTCGTACGGCGCGATGGCACAGCGCGGTACCAAGGTATGTTATATTTGTTTTTCTTTATTTCCGCAAATTTTTACGAAGTTTTTAACGCGAGTTTGTTCTGTGCAGTTTGTTGCGGCCATAAACGACTTAATGGCCGAATACGAGGCGGACTTGTCTAAGGTCGAACGTCGCTTAGACGAGGCCCGAGGCGAGACCGCGGCGTCAAAGGCGAAGCTGGAAGAGGCCCAGAACGAGGCCACGGCGGCGAAGGGGAAACTCGACGAGGCGATGTCCAGAGTGTCGAGGCTGGAAGAGGAGAAAATAGTTCTCCGCGCCAACGTTGACAAAGTTTCCGCCTCGGTGATTCGCCTGGAGGAGGCAAGGAGAGCCAAAAGCGCCGAGGTGGCATTGCTGAAGAGGCGTATCGAGGCCAAGGACGCCTTGTTTGACGTCAAGGTCAAGCGAGCGAAAAAGGAGGCGAGGCGAGAGGTTACGGCGAAGTTTCAGGAACGCCTCGCCAAGGTGGAGGAGGGTTTGGCCAAGCTCGAGAAGGCCAAAAACGACGAGAACGATCTGGGGCAAATCAAGGGCAACCTTGCGATGATTGCGGTCCTGAAAAGACCAGACGCCCCGATGCTCGATGATGAGGAGGCGCAGCTAAAGAGCTGGGAGAGCGAATATGCTGACGACGACGCGTATGAGCGCATTGCCTCCGAGATCCAAGGCGAGCTGGTTTTCTCGCCCGTATCACCGGATTCGGTCGACACCAACATAGGTAACGAGCCGCTCGAAGAGACAGCGGCCAACTTAGGCGTCGTTGATCCGAATGGATCGAACGGGGGCACGCCGGTCCTCTCGAACCTCCTTGCCGAGCGTGAAACGCAGTCCGCGGCCTGATATTCTCTGCTTTTCTCTGTTTTGTCTTTCTATACTTTTTATGCAATTTGTGTCTGCTTTCCGAACTTTTTATGCAATTTGTGCCTGGACGGCTTTATCCACCCGACATTTATTTTCGCTTATGGATATATTCTCTTTCCCTTTGCCGTTTTAGGATTTGAAGCATTTATTTTTAACGATCTGTACGAATATCTGTGAAAACCGTTGGCTTAGAGAAAATTGTCGAGGATGAAAACTGCCGCGTCAAAAATGATTTTGATCGCTTTCCTTGGCCGAAATCGATAGAAATATGAGCTAAGGGTCGAGTCGTTTAAGGATCTCGTTTGGATTCTTAATCCCGAGCTGGAAGTTAGTTTTGTGGAACATCTTTTAGGTGGTGCTGGAAAGTCGAGGCAAATTTTTGCTGGCAATGCCGAGCCGTGTAAACGACGAGGCGTTTTTCGCATTGCATGGTGCCGAGCCCTGTAGACGACGAGGCGTTTTTCTCGTTGGGTGGTGCCGAGCCGTGTAAACGACGAGGCGTTTTTCTCGTTGCATTGTGCCGAGCCGTGTAAACGACGAGGCGTTTTTCTCGTCGCGTGGTGCCGAGCCGTGTAAACGACGAGGCATTTTTCTCGTTGCGTAGTGCCGAGCCGTGTAAACAACGAGGCGTTTTGTTTTTGTTGACCGAGGATGATTCGGTAGTCTTATTGATTTTGACTATGGACCGGCGTTTCCGAGAGGATGAGTATGTGTGTCCAGGTTTCAAGAGTTTACTTCGGTTTTAGAGAAAGCGATGTAGTCTCGACTTATAATCTCGTGTGCGATAGTAAACCGTGGCGACCTGATACGTTTTGGTCTGATATTTGTATAGCGCGCTTAATTTTTATCCATAGAGGATGTAACTTGCACCCTCGTCCTAGGAAAGGTGGTAAAAACCCGTTTAGAGAACTTTGTATTTGTTGCCCCGCTGTGGCCAGCAACGAGACGAGGCGTTCGGTGGCTTAGTTTGCCGAACTGAAACTGAGGACCGATTAAGGTCCGAGGTAACCAGGTCATGATTACTCGCCGAAGTGATGAGTGAAAGAATTAAAAAATCCGAATTTGTTACAATAAGTTGCTGATTTAGAAAGAATGAGAAACTAGCCGAAGCGATAATGAACAAACGTGAAATAGTAGATGGTTCAAAACGAACTGAGAATGTGCCGAAGTGGCGATGTTCCTAAGTGAGCAAGCTAAAATTGTAGAGTTAAAAGAGGTATGTATACGTACCCACTCCCCCCCCCTTTTTAGGAGGGGGGACAGCTGAACCCGTCCGAGGACGGGCTGCCTACGTACCCTTTGCAGGGATCAAGCCGTCTCGTAGTTCGTGTTGGTCGTGCTGTATCCTTAGTGATAATATTTCTTCAGGTGCATTGCGTTCCATGATCTTGGAATCGCCTCGTCAGCTAGTGTCGCGAGTTCGTAGACTCCTAGACGAACCACTTTTGTGACCTTGTAAGGACCTTCCCAATTTGCTCCGAGCTTTCCTGCGTTCTTCTCGGCAGTATTTTGGAAGACCTTCCGGAGGACGAGCTCCCCTGCTTTGAATCTTTGGCTACGAACGTTTTTGTTGTAGTATCGCGCCGTTGCTTGTTGATAGTTCTGTATTCGAATTAAGGCTTTGTCGCGCTTTTCGTTGATTAGGTCGAGCTCATCTAGCATCATTAAGTGGTTCAAGCCCTCCTGTCCTGGTAGAAGTCTTCGTCGAATACAAAGGAAATCCACCTCGGCGGGAATTACGCACTCCGATCCGTAGACTAAAGCGAATGGAGTTTCCCCGGTGGCTCGGCGCGGAGTTGTTCGATGAGACCAAAGGACTCCTTCGAGTTCGTCTGCCCACCGTCCCTTCTTGGCGTCGAGCCTCTTTTTCAGACCGTCGAGGATCGTCTTGTTGGCTGCTTCAGCTTGTCCATTCCCTTGAGGGTATCTTGGCGTAGATTTGCTGAAGCGGATTTTCCACTTCTCGCAGAAGGCTTCGAAGCGTGTTGAGATGAACTGGGATCCGTTGTCGGTGACTATCTCATAGGGGACCCCGTGTTGGCAGATGATATTTTTCCAGACGAAGTGTTCGACTTGATCATCCTTTATGCTTGCGTAGGAATCGGCTTCGACCCATTTGGAAAAGTAATCCGTGAGGACGAGCAGGAAACGCTTCTGCTTCGAGCGATGTAGAGGTTCGACGATGTCTATCGAACGGATAAGGTGATGAAATTGACGAGAGCAACTCGGTGGGTTGATGAATTGTTGGAGCGTGCCGCTGACACTTCTCGCACTTTGCTGTAAATTTCTCGCAGTCCTTGACCATCGTGGGCCAGAAGTAGCCGTGCCGTTTAATCTTGATAGCGAGCGACCTTCCGCTGGAATGGTTCCCGCACGCGCCGCTGTGCACCTCGTGCATGATCTTTCTTGCCTCCGGTCCTTCGACGCATGTCATGAGAGGCCCTGAAAATCTCCACTTAAACACCTCGCCATCGACGAGGACATACCGCGTGGCCTGAGCTTTTAGTTTGCGGGCTTCCCATTTGTCTGTTGGCACCTCTCCAACGGCGATATACATTCGGATAGCTCCGAGCCATTCTTTGTCGCAGCCGTACTCCGGCTCGGCCGGTGAGGCGTCTTCGTCCATAGGAAAGGCTTCGTCGTCCTCTTGTTCTTGTTCAGGAGGATTTATCAGCCGAACTCCTTCCACCTCTTCGATGCTAGGACGTTCGATGAATTCGACTGGGATCGTTCGCCGGAGGTCCGGGTCCGAGGTCGAAGCGAGTGCTGCCAATGCGTCGGCCGAGGTGTGTTCTCCTCGGGGAATGCGAGTGAGTTCGAACTCATCGAATTTTTGCACCAACTCTCGGAAAACTTTGAGGTAAGCTCGCATTCGTCCATCCTTCGCCTCGTATTCTCCGTTGAACTGACATGCTACGAGCTGTGAATCGCAAAAGGTTCTTATCTTTCGAACTCCAATTCCCTGCGCTAGTCGTATGCCGGCGATCAATGCTTCGTATTCCGCTTCATTGTTCGAGGCGTGGAAGTTCAGGCGAAAAGATTGCTCCAATATTTCTCCGGTGGGAGAGGTGAGGCGGATTCCTATTCCCGAGCAGTGTTTAGACGACGAGCCATCGACGTGCAGCATCCACACTTCGTCTAGTGTCGGCTCGTTTGTTGCTTCGACGGGAAGTTCAATGAGGAAATCTGCGAGCACCTGAGACTTTGCAGACGACCTGTTCCGATACTCGATGTCGTATTCGCTTAGCTCTATGGCCCACTTGGCGAGCCGACCGGATTGGCTAGGGCTGTGTAGGATCGAGCGCAGTGGAAGCGTAGCGAGCACAACAATCGAATGTGATTGAAAGTATGGGCGCAGTTTCTGAGCCGAGACTACGACGGCTAGGGCAACCTTCTCGATCTGGGGGTAGTGAGTCTCGGCGTCGGTCAATGTCTGACTGATGTAGAAAATGGGCTTTTGCTTGGATCGTTCTTCTCTGATAAGCACTCCGCTTACTGCTGTAGCAGACACTGCGATGTAGAGGAAGAGCGGCTCTCCTTCGACTGGTTTTGCTAAGATTGGTGGGCTCGCTAGATAATCCTTCAATTCCTGGAAAGCCGTCTCGCATCGTTCGTCCCACTCAAATTTTTTTGTTTCCTCGGAGGGTGTCGTAGAAGGGCAGGCATTTGTCTGTGGAACGGGAAATAAACCTGTTTAGCGCGGCGACTCTTCCTGTGAGCCTCTGCACTTCGCGCTTTGTCCTTGGAGAAGGCATCTCAATTAAAGCTTTGATCTGCTTGGGATTTGCTTCTATGCCTCGGTCAGTTACCAGATAGCCGAGGAATTCTCCCGAGGTGACCGCGAACCTACACTTTGCCGGGTTTAGTTTCATGTTGTGCTTGTTCAATTGTTCGAAGCATTCCCGTAGATGCGCGACGTGGTCTTCCTCCTTGAGTGATTTGACTAACATGTCATCGATGTATACTTCCATAGTTTTTCCGAGCTGAGCCGCGAATATTTTATTGCGAGCCGTTGATACTTTGCTCCTGCGTTCTTGAGCCCGAAAGGCATGACTTTGTAGCAGTATATCCCGCGATCAGTTATGAATGCCGTTTTTTCTCGATCATCAGGATGCATTAGGATCTAATTTTAGCCGGAGAACGCGTCCATAAATGTTAACAGTATATTCCCTGCAGTGGCTTTGACGAGCCGGTCTATGTGTGGCAAGGGAAAGCTGTCTTTTGGGCACGTCTTGTTGAGGTCGGTAAAATCCACACATACTCGCCACTTGCCGTTCTTCTTCTTCACGACCACTGGATTTGCGAGCCAGTCTGGATATTTGGCCTCGGCGATTGATTCTACTTTGAGTAATCTTGCGACTTCGTCGTTAACTGCTTTAGCTCGTTCGGGGCCGAGCTTCCTTCTTTTCTGCTTCACTGGTTTAAAGGTCGGATCCACATTCAGCTCGTGACAGGTCACATCGATGCTTATGCCTGGCATATCTTCTGCTGTCCAGGCGAAAGTGTTGATGTTTTCCTTGAGGAGGGAAAGGAGTTCGCTTCTCAGAGGCTCTTCCAGTTTTGTTCCTATTTTGATGCATCGCTCCGGGCGCGCCTCATCTATACATACTGAGTCCACTGCATCGCATACTGGCTCGGCGCGTGTTTTGCGGCTCTCCGTGATCTGTAATTGCTATAAGAGTTTCGAGAGCTCGTTCGTGGGCTCTCGGTCTGTCTTCATCTTTTTGCGGTCGATGTCTGCTCGTGCGTCGGTGACGGGGTTCCTTAGCTTATGCTCGGCTAGGCAGCAGATTTGTGACTCATTCTGACTCCCCCATATCGTTTTAACACCTGCTGGGGTTGGGAATTTGAGGCAGAGATGATAGGTAGAGGGTACCGCCCTCATCTCGTTGATCCACGGAGTTCCCATGATCACATTGTATATTGCTGGGTGATCGGTGACGCAGAATTCGACGATCTTAGTGACTCCGCCAGCTACCACAGGAAGCCTGATCGTTCCCATAGTCATCGTCGTTTCTCCTGAAAATCCGGTTAGAGGTTTTGGGATTGCTTCGACCTCGGAGAGGTCGATTCCCATTCTTCTGAGTGTTTCCCTGAAGATGACGTTCACCGAGCTTCCAGTATCGATGAGCACCCTTGCTCGTCATGATCCCTGATCGTTAACTCAATTACCAACGGATCGTTATGAGGTCGATCAATTCCTACCGTTTCCTCCTCGGCGAAGGAGATCGCTGATAGGCTTTGATGGAGGATACGGTATCATGATAGTATTGGGATCCTCCCATGATCATATTGATCCTTTGCCTCGGCTCGGGTCGCTCTTCAGGTTCGCCTCTCCTGTCACGCTTGGGGTTATCACCTCGTCGGGGAGGATTCGCGGGTTCCGCCGCGCCGCTCGGCTCGGTTCTCTCTTGTTGTTCGTTAGGGACGAGGTCTTTGATGCTGACCGCGTTTTGGAGCTCTCCCGCTGCCATCTTTACTGCAAGCTTTGCTCCTAAAGTTCGACATTGAGCCGTTGAATGCCCGTAGGTCTGGTGATACTCGCAAAAAACCTTCTCGTCATAGTTGGCGGACTTTCTCACCCAAGTGTTGTTGCGCGGCTCTCCTCTTCCGCGTCCGGTGCCTACCTGGTAATTATGGGCGCCTCCGCTTCTAGGTTCATCCGAGCTGTGCGTTGTTGTGTTGCTCGATGGGTTGCCATTCTTCGCGGGGCGCGGCAAAATTGAGCTTCGGATTGCCGCTTTCGTTGCTTCGTACTGCTCGTCCAAGTTTTTCATTTCCTCCTCGTTTACGACGAAGTCTGATGATCGGTGCAAAATGTCTTGGATTGTTTGCGGCGTGTTGAGAGCCATCTCCCGTCGAAACTCGGATTTGTACCACAAAGATCGCTTCAGAGCCTCGAGCGCAGCCTTGTCGCTTATCCCTTCTATTTTGGATACGACTGCCTTGAATCTTGCCATGTAATCCCGAAGCGGTTCGTTCGGTCCTTGGGATAATGTCCACAGGTCGGCATCAGATGTTCCTCTGTCCATAAACATCGAGTATTGTTTAAGGAACAAAGCGGAGAGCTGTTGAAAATTGCTAATTGAATTTCGTTCCTGCCTCGAAAACCACTCGAGTGCGGCTCCCTTGAGATGCTCCACAAAGAGCAGGCAGTATCCGGCATCTATTTCACGCTCGGTGAATTTAATGGCGTTCTTTGTGAAGGCTCGTCCCATCGCTATCTGAAACGCTGTGATGTGTGCCTTCGGGTCGGTTGTTCCTTCGTAGAACAGGATTCTCACCTTCCCCGACTCAAGAATCCTGGCCTCCGTGATTCTTGTAGTGAATGGGGTTCTTAGAGTTTCTTCAAGCATTCGGTCGATTTCGGGCGCGGCGTTTGTCGCATTGTGCACTTGGGATTTCATGGCGCGTATTTCAGCTACCGTCCGAGCCATCGAGGCTCGCAGCTCTTTGAGTTCAAGAGTTTGTGCGTGAGTCATTCCCTTTGATTGGGGAGGTCGCTCCCGCTCCTCTCTCCTCGGCTCGTCTTCGCGCTCTGCCTGCTCGATCCATTGGAGGTTTTCTTCCTCCTCGGTTGGATTGTCGCCGCGGGTCGGATCGGAGACTTCGTCAGTTTGGATGCCGTTTAGTGCCGAGGCGAGCTCTTCTTGACTTATTCGGCGAGCCGAGCCGGTTTGTTGCAGATTCGTGGTTCCGTTGTTCTGCTGGGCGTCTATGTCGATCGCATCGTTTCCTTCTTCGCCGGCTCGTCGCCTCGAGTTTCGGCGGAGAGGGGGCGGCTCGGTTATGTTGACTCGGTTCACCGCAGGGGTCTGTTCTTCGAGGAGACGAGACATAGGAGGAGCCGAGGGGTTTCTTGCGCCGCTCCCTGAGGCTTCTGCAGGTGCCGAGAAATCGAAGCATCTCCGGATTCCATCCATCGGGTCGGGAAATCCGGCTCTCCAAGTTGGGTGCAGTCGCTCAGCCGCCATCGCGTCGAGCCTCTCCGTAATCGCCTCGTTTCTTTTATCCTGTTCGTCGATTTTCTTCATCAACGCAGCCATCATGTTTCGCATCTCCTCCTGGGTTTTGATTGTTGCCGTCGTTGTGCCCGATGCCAGAGCGTCCTTCTCCGCGCCGTTACCGGTGTTGTTGTTGTTGTTGTCGTCGGGGGTGTTGCTCGCCATGTTCTTCGGATCTTAAAGTCTTGTCGATTTAGAGTAAGAAAGTTTCGATTCCCCACAGATGGCGCCAAATTGTGTGAGCCAAAACTCGCACAACCAGAAATTTGTTTAAGGAAAACTAAGGGATCGGAAACTTCTAGGGTTTATCGTCAAGAACAGTAAGATCGAAAGAAAGTTTTTCTTGCTGTAAAAGTGTTTAGCTCTTATTGCTTAGGGTTGCAAAAGTTACAGAATGAATTGTATAGATCGTCTATTTATACTAACTCTCTGAACCGCCTAGCCGAGAATCTCGGGAGAGATTTTCGGAATATTTCCTTATCGCCTCGTGCGGCTCACCGCCTTTGTATTTCGCCTAGGGTTTTTATGGGCTTCGTCTCCCAAGGCCACGGTTCAGCCCATCATTCTCCTTCTCCACGGCTCGGCCCATATAAGCTTCTCCACGGCTCGGGACATCTAAGCTCTTCCACGGCTCGGCCCATCTAAACTTCTCCACGGCTCGGGACGTTTGCCATTTGAGTCGAGACGTGAGCTGGTCCACCTCACCGAAGCGCGGCTCAGCCCAGGCGTGTTGGAGAGGGGCTCGGCCCATTTCTTGTGATACGGCTCGACCCATCTCTCTTTTCCTCATGGCTCTCCCTACTGGCCTATTTTCACGGCTCTCCCACTTGGTGAGAACGGCTCTCCCACTTGTCTTGGTGAGAACGGCTCTCCCACTTGTCTTGGTGAGAACGGCTCTCCCACTTGGTGAGAATGGCTCTCCCACTTGGTGAGAACGGCTCTCCCACTTGTCTTGGTGAGAACGGCTCTCCCACTTGTCTTGGTGAGAACGGCTCTCCCACTTGGTGAGAACGGCTCTCCCACTTGGTGAGAACGGCTCTCCCACTTGGTGAGAACGGCTCTCCGCTTGTCTTTCTTCTATACTTAGTCATTTTGAGATGGTCTTATCTACGTGGGGTGAAAACCGACCCCAACAGTTAACACATCCATTCGGCTGCATTCCTTGTTGGTCACCATCGGCTGCATTGATGGGTGCTTCAAGGTCTTCACATTCTTCTCTTTCACGGTTCTGGTGGTTTCTTGGAGGAACCTCATCCTCCTCTCCATCTTGTCGAGCATGATCACCTCCTCTGTGATCATTCTCTTCATTTTCTCCATGTTCGGACCCGTCTTGGTCCATATTCAAAGTTTGATTAATAGGATCTCCAGGCTGGTCGTCGTTGGCCATTCCTTGCGTTCGTCTAAGTCTTCGAAGTTCTCTTTCGTGTCTGTCTATCTCGTCTAGAATTGGAATGTTTTCTACAGATCTGCGCCTGGTATTCATGCAATTCAGAGAAAAACAAAAGAAGGAAAAGATAATTCAGCAAAACTTTATGAAAGAACTAGAGATCAGGTGTCTAGAACAGAAGTTAAAACAAGAAAAATAGCAAAAGGCAGCAAAAGAAATCCCCGGCAACGGCGCCAACAACTTGATGTCGTTTCAACTGCATGAGGGAACAAGTTTTATCCTTAACAAAACAAATGAAAGCTGCAAGTGCACAGCTAATCGATTGTAGTATTTAGGGATCGAATCCACAGAGATTTGTGTGCCTGGTATTCTTCTACGGTTTTTAACTTTATGTCTAGACTAGATTGTTTTTTTTTCAAGGTTGTTTGTTTGTCACGAATTAACCTAAAGCAAAAGAAAGCAAATAAATCTATCCTAAAAACAAGTATAGAAATCGAATGAAAGGCTAATAAAGCAAGTAAAATATCGAATGAAAGACTAGTAAAGCAAGTAAAATATCGAACTAGGGGAATTGAAATGC